CTAATTGCATTCTTTTACATGTAGCTGTCCAGTTTTCCCAGCACCACTTATTGAAGAGACTGTCTTTCTCCACTGTATATTCTTCTTCCTTTATCAAAGATAAGGTGACCATATATGTGTGGGTTTATCTCTGGGCTTTCTATCCTGTTCCATTGATCTATATTTCTGTTTTGGTGCCAGTACCATACTGTCTTGATTACTGTAGCTTTGTAGTATAGTCTGAAGTCAGGGAGCCTGATTCCTCCAGCTCCATTTTTCTTTCTCAAGATTGCTTTGGCTATTTGGGGTCTTTTGTGTTTCCATGCAAATTGTGAAATGTTTTATTCTAGTTCTGTGAAAAATGCCAGTGGTAGTTTGATAGGGATTGCATTGAATTCGTAGGTTGCTTTGGGTAGCAGAGTCATTTTCACAATGTTGATTCTTCCAATCCAAGAACATGGTATATCTCTCCATCTATTTGTATCATCTTTAATTTCTTTCATCAGTGTCATACAATTTTCTGCATACAGGTCTTTTGTCTCCTTAGGTAGGTTTATTCCTAGATATTTTATTCTTTTTGTTGCAGTGGTAAATGGGAGTGTTTTCTTAATTTCACTTTCAGATTTTTCATCATTAATGTATAGGAATGCAAGAGATTTCTGTGCATTAATTTTGTATGTTGCTGCTTTACCAAAATCATTGGTTAGCTCTAGTAGTTTTCTGGCAGCATCTTTAGGATTCTCTATGTATAGTATCATGTCATCTGCAAACAGTGACAGCTTTACTTCTTCTTTTCCGATTTGGATTCCTTTTATTTCTTTTTCTTCTTGGATTGCTGTGGCTAAAACTTCCAAAACTATGTTGAATAATAGTGGTGAGAGTGAGCAGCCTTGTCTTGTTCCTGATCTTAGTGGAAATGGTTTCAGTTTTTCACCATTGAGGATGATGTTGGCTGTGGGTTTGTCATATATGGCCTTTATTATATTGAGGAAAGTTCCCTCTATGCCTACTTTCTGGAGGGTTTTTATCATAAATGGTTGTTGAATTTTGTCAGAAGCTTTCTCTGCATCTATTGAGATGATCATATGGATTTTCTCCTTCAATTTGTTAGTATGGTGTATCACGTTGATTGATTTGCTTATAGTGATTCTTATCCTTGCATTCCTGGGATAAACCCCACTTGATCATAGTGTATGATCCTTTTAATGTGCTTTTGGATTCTGTTTGCTAGTATTTTGTTGAGGATCTTTGCATCTATGTTCATCAGTGATATTGGCCTGTAGTTTTCTTTCTTTGTGACGTCTTTGTCTGGTTTTGGTATCAGAGTGATGGTAGCCTTGTAGAATGAGTTTGGGAGTGTTCCTCCCTCTGCTATATTTTGGAAGAGTTTGAGAAGGATAGGTGTTAGCTCTTCTCTAAATGTTCGGTAGAATTCGCCTGTGAAGCCATCTGGTCCTTGGCTTTTGTTTGTTGGAAGTTTTTTAATCACAGTTTCAATTTCAGTGCTTGTGACTGGTCTGTTCATATTTTCTATTTCTTCCTGGTTCAGTCTGGGAAGGTTGTGCATTTCTAAGAATTTGTCCATTTCTTCCAGGTTGTCCCTTTTACTGGCATATAGTTGCTTGTAGTAATCTCTCATGATCCTTTGTATTTCTGCAGTATCAGTTGTTACTTCTTTTTCATTTCTAATTCTATTGATTTGAGTCTTCTCCCTTTTTTCTTCATAAGTCTGGCTAATGGTTTATCAATTTTGTTTATCTTCTCAAAGAACCAGCTTTTAGTTTTATTGATCTTTGCTATCGTTTCCTTCATTTCTTTTTCATTTATTTCTGATCTGATCTTTATGATTTCTTTCCTCCTGCTAACTTTGGGGGTTTTTTGTTCTTCTTTCTTTAATTGCTTTAGGTGTAAGGTTAGGTTGTTTATTTGAGATGTTTCTTGTTTCTTAAGATAGGCTTGTATAGCTATAAACTTCCATCTTAGAACTGCTTTTGCTGCATCCCATAGGTTTTGGGTCATTGTGTTTTCATTGTCATTTGTTTCTAGATATTTTTTGATTTCCTCTTTGATTTCTTCAGTGATCTCTTGGTTATTAAGTAGTGTGTTGTTTAGCTTCCATGTGTTTGTATTTCTTACAGATTTTTTCCTGTAATTGATATCTAGTCTCATAGCATTGTGGTCGGAAAAGATACTTGATATGATTTCAATTTTCTTAAATTGACCAAGGCTTGATTTGTGACCCAAGATATGATCTGTCCTGGAGAATGTTCCATGAGCACTTGAGAAGAATGTGTATTCTGTTGTTTTTGGATGGAATGTTGTATAAATATCCATTAAGTCCATCTTGTTTAATGTGTCACTTAAAGCTTGTGTTTCCTTATTTATTTTCATTTTGGATTATCTGTCCATTGGTGAAAGTGGGGTGTTAAAGTTCCCTACTATGATTTTGTTACTGTCGTTTCCCCTTTTATGGCTGCTAGTATTTGCCTTATGTATTGAGGTGCTCATATGTTGGGTGCATAAATATTTACAATTGTTACATCTTCTTGTTGGATTGACCCCTTGATCATTATGTAGTGTCCTTCTTTGTCTCTTGTAATAGTCTTTGTTTTAAAGTCTATTTTGTCTGATATGAGAATTGCTACTCCAGCTTCCTTCTGATTTCCATTTGCATGGAATGTCTTTTTCCGTCCCCTCACTTACAGTCTGTATGTGTCCCTAGGTCTGAAGTGGGTCTCTTGTAGACAGCATATGTACCGGTCTTGTTTTTGTATTCATTCAGCCAGTCTATGTCTTTTGGTGGGAGCATTTAATCAATTTACATTTAAGGTATGTATGTTCCTGTTACCATTTTCTTAATTGTTTTGGGTTTATTATTGTAGGTGTTTTCCTTCTGTTGTGTTTCCTGCCTAGAGAAGTTCCTTTAGCATTTGTTGTAAAGCTGCTTTGGTGGTGCTGAATTCTCTTAGCTTTTGCTTGTCTGTAAAGCTTTTAATTTCTCCATCAAATCTGAATGAGATCCTTGCTGGGTCGAGTAATCTTGGTTGTAGGTTTTTCTCTTTCATCACTTTAAATCTGTGCTGCCACTCCCTTCTGGATTGCAGAGTTTCTGCTGAAAGATCAGCTGTTAAACTTTTTGGGATTCCCTTATGTGTTACGTGTTGTTTTTCCCTTCTGCTTTTAATATTTGTTCCTTGTATTTAATTTTTGATAGTTTGACTAATATGTGTCTTGGCATGTTTCTGCTTGGATTTATCCTGTATGGGACTCTCTGTGCTTCCTGGAGTTGATTAACTATTTCCTTTCCCATATTAGGGAAGTTTTCAACTACAGTCTCTTCAAATATTTTCTCAGTCCCTTTCTTTTTCTCTTCTTCTTCTGGGACCCCTATAATTCAAATGTTGGTGCATTTACTGTTGTCCCAGAGGTCTCTGAGACTGTCCTCAATATTTTTCATTCTTTTTTCTTTTCTCTGCTCTATTCTGCAGTAGTTATTTCCACTATTTTATCTTCCAGGTCACTTATCCGTTCTTCTGCCTCAGTTATTCTGCTATTAATCCCTTCTAGAATATATTTAATTTCATTTATTGTGTTGTTTATCATTGTTTTTTTGCTCTTTCATTCTTCTAGGTCCTGGTTAAACTTTTGTTGTATTTTCTCCATTCTATTTCCAAGATTTTGGATCATCTTTACTATCATTATTCTGAATTCTTTTTCAGGTAGACTGCCTATTTCCTCTTCATTTGTTAGGTCTGATAGGTTTTTGCCTTGCTCCTTCATCTGCTGTGTGTTTCTCTGTCTTCTCATTTTGCTTAACTTACTGTGTTTGGGGTTCCTTTTTGCAGGCTGCAGGTTCATAGTTTCTGCTGTTTTTGGTGTCTGTCCCCAGGGGCTAAGGTTGTTTCAATGGGCTGTGTAGGCTTCCTGGTGGAGGGGACTAGTGCCTGTGTTCTGGTGAATGACGCTGGATCTTGTCTTTCTGGTGGGCAGGTCCACATCTGGTGTTGTGTTTTGGGGTGTCTGTGGCCTTATGATTTTAGGCAGCCTCTCTTTTATTTTTTTAAAAAAACATATCAACATTTTATACTATACTGTTTTAAATTTTTATATTTTACCTTCTTTGTCTTGAACCTTCTTAGGGTAAAAAATGGCATAAAAGTATAAATAAGTACATGTTAGCTTTAATTACTTATCATAATGGCCACCACCTGTTTAGCATCTTACTGTGGCAACTTGTCCCTGCCAAGCCCTGTGGTATGTGCTTTCCATGCTTTGTTCTATTTAATTTTTGCCATAATTCCATGAGATAAGTATTATGTTCAGATTCTTTTAGTTGTAAATGATAGGAACACAAGTCAAACTAGTTTAAGCAAAACGAATTTACTGGCTCAATTAGCCAAAGGATCTGGGGGTAGTGGTTCAGCTGGATCCAGGGCTCAAACAGTGCTATTAAGGTACTATCTGTATCCCTACCTCTAACCCTACCCTCATCCCCGTCCCTACCTCTAGCTCCACCCTTGTCCCTATCCCTACTTCCAACTCTATCTCTATGCCTATCTCTAACTGTATTCCTATTCCTATCCCTAACTCTACTCCTCTCCTCAGCTCTATCTCTATCCTCTCCTCTGTCTCGAGCTCCATCTATATCCCTTTCCTTATCCCCATCTCTATCTCGCCAAAATCTCTCTTCCTATAGCAATCATGGTGGGCGTCAATAGACTCAAACTTATATTCTACCCCCTTAGTAACCCAAACAAAAGGGAAGCATCTTCTCTACAGTCTGGGAGTAAAATCCCAGGGAATTGTCTGATTGGCTCCCTTGGGCGTTCTGCCTCTCCCTGAAGTTGAGATTGATTAGGGAGGTGGGCAATGTGGTTGACCAGGCCCAGGTCATATCCAACCATGCGAATAGAACAGAGCTCAACCCCTACTGAGCTAAGCACGTGGAGTGAGTGTCCCTACGGGAAGGTAGAAAAATGCCTGGCAGGCAAAAATGGAAGATTTCTGTTCTCTCCTCGCAGATGAGAAAACTGAGCTCAAAGAGATTACTTCATTTTCCCAAGGACACATGAGAGGTAAGTCATGGGGCTGGGATTCAACTCCAGTTCTGTCTGACTCTACAGTCTTTGTCCCCTAACACTCTGCTGAATTACCTTCCTTTATACAGTACTAAAAAGTAAACAGTAAACCTTCAAAGTTTAAAAGATGATGAACCAGAAATAAAGAAAAATAATTACTTTGCCCAAATTTGTGAGATAGGGCTAAGGCTGTGATCTGAATTGCCCCCACCCCCCATATCCTACCCAACCAAGTTAAGTATCCTTACCAAAAAAGTATACTATTCCTTTTTATACATTGTTCAAAAACAAACAACTAAAAACATATGTGAGTCACTTTATGCCTTTAGGGAGTTTACGTTTCATTTTTCTTGAAGCTTTGTTCTTTACATAGATAGTTCCTATAAAGATATTTTATACTCAGCTTCTTAATACCTTTTTCTAACTAGACATAATCATAGCAACCTTAAACTACTCAAATGGATTCCTACGTGAACTCTACTTGTCTTGGCACTGCTTTAACACTGGTCATGTTTTTTGGTTAAAAAAACCTCTACCCTAAGAGAATACAGGCTACCCTTCCTACATTCTTTCTATGTTTAACACTCATCCATAGGAATTCTAAAAGGTTAAGACATGCCACATCAATATTAAGGGATTGGGTGCAGGGAAGGATCTTAGAGATGATTAAACCCAATCATCTCATTTCACAGATGAGAGAAATGAGATTCAGAGGTTAAGTGGCTTACCCAAAGTCGCTCCACTGCTTTGGCAGAATTTGGGAACCTAGTTTTTCTGATGCTTTGTCTAACACTGTGTCGTTACCCACATTGCCCCATATCTCATTTACCATGCCCTGCTGGGTCTTCCTCTCCAGGACCTGAGACGCAACCTCCTCTGAGACTTTGTGGGCCAGAAAATTCAAGCTATAAACATGTGCCCTTGCCCATTAGCCATGTGATTAAAATAAAGACGAGACAGACACAATCAAATTCCAAGGAATAGGAAAGTGTGACTGAAAAATGCCAGGGTAAAGGTGTGGAGGTGGTTCAAGATGGCAGAGTAGGAAGATCCTGAGCTCACCTCCTCCCATGGACACACCAAATTTACAACTACATATGGGGAAACTACCTCTGAGAACAGCCTGAAGACTAGCAAAAAAGAGGGCTACAACTAAAGATAAAGGGTAGGGACTTCCCTGGCGGTCCAGTGGTTAAGACTCCACACTTCCACTGCAGGGGGCACAGGTTCCATCCCCAGTAGGGGAACTAAGATACCTCATGCCACGTGGTGGCCAAAAAATAAATAAGTAAAAAGGTAAAGGGTAAAAGCCACATTGAGATGAATAGGAGGGGTGGAGACACGGTCTGGCTGGGATCCACATCCCACAGGCCGAAGGGAAATCACAGCCTCAGAGGTTCCCCCTGAGGAGCAAGGGCTCCAAATCCCACATTGGGGTCCCCAGCCCGGGGCACCCACACAGGGAAGATGAGCCCCCATGACATCCGGCTTTGAAAACAAGTGGGACTTATATCCAAGTGGGCCAGAGGGCTGTAGGAAACTGAGAATCCACACTTAAGGGGCACGCACAAAAACTCCAAGGCCCAGCACAGAAGCAGCAGTATGAAAGGCACCTAGAGATTCATTGACCAAGTTTAGGGTATGTGCCTGAGGGCAGGGATCTGATGGAACTTTTTCTTATAAAGGAGCTGGTGGATGCCAGTTTTGTTGTTTGGTTGGTTGGGTTTTTTTCTTTCTAGCTCACCCTCTACCTAGCTGGCCCAGTGCTGGCAGGTGCCATTACTGAGTCTCCCCATGCAACCAATTAACCCTGGATTCACCCATGAACCCAACAGCACGGTGCTCTTCCAAAGCAGCCCCCACACTTCACCAGGCCTGGCAGGTGCCCTTGGCTGGCATTGGAGCCAGGCAACCGAAACAAAAGGAAAAATAAACAAATGGGACTATATCAAACTAAAAACGCTTTTACACCGAGAAGAAAAATATCAACTAAATATAAAGGCAGCCTACCAAATGGGAAAAATATTTGCAAAAATGTCTGATAAGAGGTTAATATCCAAAATATATGAATAACTCATACAACTCAATATTTTTCTTTAAAAAAACCCAGCAATCCACTTAAAAAATGGGTGGATGTTCTGAATAGACATTTTTCCAAAGAAGACATACAGATGGCCAACAGGTACATGAAAAGATGCTCAACATCACGAATCATCAGGGAAATGCAAATCAAAACCACAGTGAGATACCACCTCACACCTGTTAAGATGGTAGTTATCAAGTACACAATAAATAACAAGTGTTGGCAAGTAGGCAGAGAAAGGGAACCCTTGTGCACTGCTGGTGAGAATGTGAATTGGTGCAGCCACTATGGAAAACACTGTGGAGGTTCTGCAAAACATTAAAAACAGAACTACCATAAGATCCAGCAATTCCACTTCTGGGTATTTACCTTAAGAAAACAAATTTTCACTAATTTGAAAGGATATATGCACCCTTATATTCACTGCAGCATTATTTACAAAAGCCAAGATATGGAAGCAACCTGAATGCTCATGGATAGATGAGTGGACAAAGAAGATGTAACACACACACACACACACACACACACACACACACACACACACACACACTGGAATATTACTCAGCCATAAAAAAGAATAAAATTTTGCCATTTGTGACAGCATGGATGCACCTAGAGGTATTATGCTAAGTGAAATGAGTCGGATAAGGACAAATATTGTATAATTTCACTTATATGTGGAATCTAAACAAAACAAATGAGCAAACAAAACAGAAATGGATTCATTGATACAAAGAACAAACAGGCGATTGCCGGGGAGGAGGAGGCAGAGTTTGGCAAAATAGGTGAACGGGATTAAGAGGTACAAACTTCCAGTTATAAAATAAATGAGTCACAAGATGTAATAGACAACATAAGGAATATAGTCAATAATACTGTAATAATTTTGTATGTAACAAATGATTACTAGAATTATTGTGTTGATCATTTTGTCATGTATTTGATTGTCAAATCACTATGTTGAACACTTGAATCTAATATAATACTTTACATCAACTGTACTTCAATTTGAGAAAAAAAAGTGAGAGAGCAGGAAGAATCAAAGACAGTGCAGATGTGTCCTGCTTGAGGAATAGCACAGATGTCATGGCTGTGTCAGGAAACTCTGAGGGAACCCACTAGCTCCTGTTCTACACATTTCACATAAGGCTTTCATCTCGTAGCTAACGTCTTTCTGTACCTTTACAATGAAGACAGTAGACTCAGAGAAAAATGTATTCCTTCTATTCAATTTCATGTCTACCCTAAAGCTGTTTAGAAAGTGATTTTTTGATATACCTCTCTCTACATAAAACAATGGTCCAACCTGTAGAAATAGTAGAGAGGGTTATTAGATCTCTAATTAGTTCTCAATTGTTCTGCATTTCATAAAAAGGTTGGAAATAAATCCAGTTAAACATTTTCTTTAATGCCAGGAGATTTTAACAGATGCTGTACTTGATGAATTTAAGTATGCTTCTTGAATCTTGTACAGAAACTCATTTTCATTATAGAACAAATAATTCTACCACTGTGTCATAGAAATGAAAAAAGAAAGAAAGAACACCAAGATAAAAGAGTGCCAATAAGTCCTTGCAAATGACTGTTAAAAATTGTCCAGATAATTCTGGTATTCTATTTTTCTATCCCAAAGCATTTCTGTTCTCTTCCTTTTAATAATTCCTTTTCCAAAGGTGTTCAAACCACAATAAATTGTCATGTTGTCATAGTAGCCTCATCTCCAGATGTGAATTAATTATATGTTGACTTGAAGGAACATGATTTTCTTATAAAATGCTAGGCCGATACTGCTAGTGAAGAGATTAAGCTACTTTGAAAACTCTGAGGTAATAAAATTCTATTAATCATAGTGCTGTAAAGCTTCAAAGTATATCTTCATGTTAATGTTCAGAAACCTAAATGACTTCTTTCAACTGTAGCAGTTTCACTGGAATAACAGAGTTCTATAGTACTGACGTACATCCTTTAATAAAGGTATTTCTCAGAATTAGGATATATGTTCTAATTCTGTATACCGTGAAACATATTCTGGGCTTTCTTTCACTTAAGTTCAGAAATGCAAGGCCAGGCCTACACAAGACTGAGCATTTCCTCTTAGGCCAAGAATGGCAAAGAGTTTTCAACTGAAGACTGAACTCCAATATATCTAAAAATAAGTGTTGGGAACGACTGTGAGTGAGATTCCAGCCTCTGTAGGGAATGAGAGCTTTATCGGTTGGTGATGTCTCCCACAGACAAAAAAAGGAGATGCAGCACTCTGTGGTGCATTTATACTCTCCAAAAGATAGTTCTTATTGTCTCTTTGTTTTCTTTTGTTTCAGTTTTAATTTTTATCAAACTTATATATGTACATAGCTAGAAAGTCAAATAGTCATGGTTAGAAAGCCCAAGAGAAAGACAAAAATCAGTAGTTTCCTGATCAACCTCTTCCCACCCTTGATTTTCACTCCCAGAGGTAACCATTTCAAGTTCTTTAGCTATTCTTTTCGTATTTGCCTCTGTAGTTCTGAGAGTTGTTAGGTACTTGGAAACAACAGACTGACTCTAGACATGGGGTAGCTCATGGGGATGCTAAGCTTCCAAGAACAGTGATTAAACCATACAGCAGACTCCCCTGAAAAAAGACACATTCTACCACCACGGGCCCCATGGATGTCAATTCTGCTCTGGAACTCAACCTTGTGGCCGCCCTCCAAAGCTGAATTGCTCTGCTACAGCCCTCACCAGCCAAATGCTTTCCATATGGGATCACCTTCCTCAAGTTGCTCACTTCTAGATCAGAATCTCACGGGAGTGAGTCTGCTGGCAGAGCCCAGGTCACATGGGTCTGCGCTAGCTGAAAAGGACACTGGAACAGAATTTGGGAGTTTATTTTGGGGATACAGGATTCATATGGCAGTAAATTCCCCAAATATAACAGTATGTTGTTCAAAAGGAGTTAGACAGCCTGAAAAGAAATGACAAATACCTACCACAGCTTTCTAATGAGCAAGTTTATTCTACTATTTATTAATTTTGTATTTTAGAGATTTTCTAGGCTCTCCCCACTGTTGAAGATACATCATGACACCCCTGGACACCACACAGACTCCTCCTTCATCTACCCACACATTTATCTATATCATATTTTTAAATAGATCAGTATTTGAGTTTGCATTATTTTGTCTATGTGAACATTATTTTTATCTTAGCTAAGTACTGTATTATATTCTTTTCTTTTATAATGTTATGTTTTCCCTAGAATTAATAGTTAACTTTTTTCATTTGATAACTTTCTATATACCTATCATTAATGCATTCTAAACTTTATTCCAGAATTGTAATTTCTTGTATCATATTTTAAAATTTCTAAGGTCTATTTGGTTTTCTAAATGTTCTTTTTATAACTTTTGTGTGCATGTGTCATGGATGTAATGGAGGGATGTAATCATCCGTGAAGATGATTATAGTTTTTTGTTTTTGTTTTTTCTGCTTCCTATGTTGTTTCATCTGTGCTAACTTTTTCTATTTGTTTTGGTCTGTCTGCTGTTAAAAGTTTCCCCAAATCTCTTGTTATTCTTATTTTGCTCATATTTAAGAAAGAGGACTTAAAATTGTGAGAAGAGAGAATAGGGCCTATTAAAGACTTGGCTTCACTGAAGGATAATGAGTAGAACACAGCTATTTCATCAGGGGTCTCCCAAGTGCAAGTAGTTTATTTTGTTTTTCTCATTTTCCTCTTTGGCTGATCACTTTCCTCAGAGAGGAATCCTATAATCTCCTGCCTTTAAATATGACTGCCAGCATTCTAAGAGCTGAGCCATGGAAGAGGTTGTTTAGAATAGAGGCTTTCATTCAGTTCCCCTGTTTTTGGTATGGTACTCCGTCCTCCTCTCTGCTGAATGCCCTAAGTCTGGAGACCTCTGGTTTGACATCTCCAGAGAGTAAACCTCTAGTTTTCTGCCAGATTCAAGAAGAGGCAGTTATCCAGCTGGGGAATGGTATAGAGGGAAGGATCTGGGTACACCCTATGTAGATGTTCAATCAACACTCTGTTTTCTTCCCTACCTGTTCCGCAATATTTTGAAGTACTTGGTGGATTCAATTCCTGAGCTTTCTTTTCTGGAAATCCCTGGCATGAGTTGACGTACTTCAGCTCTTGTAGGCTTAGATTTCAGCTTCCCCTGGTCTAAGGAGTCAGTCACCACTAATCCATCAGCTTTCCAGCTGCCAAAATTACACCACTGTCTTCCTTCCTGTTCTTTCTCTTCCTGTTCCCTTCCCTTTCTCTCTCCTCCTTCTCTCTCTCATTCTCTCTCTCTCTCTTGCAATCTCTCTCTCTCTCTCCCTCTCTCTTTCTCTATCAGTATCTACCTCCCTCCCCCTCTTCTTCTATTTCTCTGTGTGTGTGTATGTGTGTGTGTGTGTGTGTGTCTATCTCATCTTCTATTGACATTGTAGTGGAATTTCAGGAGAGGAGAGTAGGGAAGGTATGTTTCAATCTTCTGTATTAATCAGAAATCCTTTGTTATATATTCTTTCTTAAAATCTTGTCAACACCCTGTCATCCAACAGATAGAATTGAAATTATGTTTTTCACAATTTACAGGGCTGATTTTATCCACTTTCAACAAATCAGGTCTTCAGTACTAACAAACTGGTGTTCCTGTTGGGCTTTTGATCATTATGTTGAGATCTGGGTAAGGTCTCATCTCCATTCTCTTCCAATCTCAATCCAATGTTTATAGCTAAAAGTTAAATCTCTCCCTGTTATGCACACTTGCTACCTTCTAATTATATAAGCAATACATGTTTATTTTAGCAAGTTTGGAATCACAGAAAGACACAAAGAAGGAGTAAAAAATTACTTGTAATTATTCCTCTTTTTCAATGTAATGTGTAAAACTCCTCTGCAGTCCACTAGGTTCATTTCCAACCACCTACCATACCTCTGTAAGTACTATCAACATTTTCATCTGTAAGCTTCTAGAAACTTTTATGCTTACACCTACATATGTAAGATTTGGTTGCAAAATAAAAAAATCACGCTATATATAAAATAAAATAAAAAAATCACGCTATATATATAAATATATAAAAAATAAAAATAAAATAAAAAATCACGCTATATATATCATTGCTTGCTCTGTTCTTTTTAATTAATGATATATCAACAATGCTTTTCTAAGTTAGTATTTTTTAACATACCTCATTATTTTTAATGGGTATCGATATGGTTTTAAAATACATTCACAAAGTAAAAGAAGTCCATTAATTCTTGATACTCCTTTCCAAAAGGTGGAGCCTAATTCCCCTCCCCTGAGTGTGGACTGAACTTAGTGACTCGCTTCTAATGAATAGAATGTGGTGGAAGTGACATTATGTGACTTCTGAGACTAGATCATAAAAGGCATAGCAGCTTCCCCTTTTCTCTTTCTCTCTCAGATCACTCATTCTGAGAGAAGCCAGTTTTTTGTCATGAGGACACTCAAGAAGCCCTGAAGAAAGACCTATATGGCCAGGAACTAAGGTCCCATGCCAACAGCCAGTGAGGAACAGTGGCCCTCTGACAGTACACATTCAAGTGAACCATCTTGGCAGTGGATTCTCCAGCCCCACTGAAGCCTTTAAAAGAATGCCACGGGAGGAGTTTGGGATTAACATATATACACTATTGTATATAAAATAGATAAACAGCAAGGACCTACTGTATAGCACAGGGAACTGTACTCAATATCTTGTAATACCTATAATGGAACTATAATGGAAAATAATCTGAGAAAGATTATATATATATATATATATATATATATATATATATATATATATATAACTGAGTCACTTCGCTGTACACTTGAAACTAACACAACTTTGTAAATTAACTATACTTCAATTTACAAAAGTGAAAACAGCCCCACTGACATCTTGACTATAATCTCATGAGAGACCCTGAGCCAAAGCCACCCAGTTAAGTTGCTTCCTGATTCTTGACCCACAGCAATTGTGATATAATAAATGGTTGTTATAAGCTGCTATGTTTTGGAGTAATTTGTTACACAGCAGTAGATAATGATACTGATTTTGATACCTGGAAGTTGGGTGCTATCCTAATAAGTACCTAAAAATGTGGAAGTGGCTTTGGAACTGGGTAGTGGGCAAAGGCTGTAAAGGCTTTGAGGAGAGTGTCAGAAAGTGTTAATAGAGGCCTGGTTGCCATAGGGAGACTCTGGTGAGAGCTTACAGGAAAGTGAGGAACAGCTTTAGGGAAACTGGAGAAAAGGGGATCCTTGTTACATAGTGGCAGAAAGTTTAGTAAGACTGTCCCCTGTGGTAATGTGGAAAGTAGAAAATGTACATGATGTGCCAGGTAATCTAGTTAAGGACATTTCCAGGTAAAATGCTGAAGGTGCCACCTGGTTTCTTCTTGCTGATTGTAATGAAATATGAGAGGAAAGAGAGAAACCAAAGGAAGGATTGTCAAACACAAAGAAGCCAGAACTGGATGGTTTTTAAAAATTCTGTCTTCGCAGATGGCAAACAAAACTAAAATGAAGAAATGGGTTTGCAGCAAAGATCAATTCCAGGCCACTGCCAAGAAAGCCTAGTTTAGAGATGAGGCTAAGAGTATAGCTTTAAAATACTTTGCTTATGACCTCAGGAAGATCTAAGATGGTGCCTCAGAGAACTGTTCAAACAACAGAGCTTTGAAGAAGCTAAAGGGTACTGTCCTTCCATAGTTCAGCAGAAGTTCAAGGTAGAGAAGAATTTACCTTGAAGAGATTTGTGGGTGTGGCTTTTGTCTAATGAAGTAAACCCTGATAAGATTCATGGCAGGCCCACAGAGTTTCTAAAAATAATTATAATTACAGAAATAACACCAGCTTAGACTGAAGGAGATAGTACACAATGAAAACAGGCATTTGGAACTCCAAAATTTTACTGAGAAAACTACACAGCTCCAAAATAGGCTAACTTTCAAGGAATGAATCAGGAAAGTAGAAAATGTACCTGATGTACCAGGTGACCTTCAGAGGTTCTTGAAGCCAAGAGCCATGAACAATCATTCCTGGTCAGGAGTAGGAATGAGTTTGAATCAAGAACTTCTAACATGTAGCTGAATGGATTTCAGAATTGCTATGGAACAGTGACTGCTTTGGACATCTCATTTTTTCTCTTTTTGAACAAGAATGTCCAGAGTGGTTATCCTGTGCCTGTCCCGTATATATATAGGATGAGTTATCCCCTCATGTATGTATTTATGTATGTGTATATGGATGTATATATATATGGATAACTTGTCTCTTTAGTTCACAGGGCTTGAGATCTAAGGAACCATACTCAAGGAGTTTCACTTAAGGAATGACACCTGACAAGCCAAAGCCTCACCTGGATCTGATTAAGTTGACATGTTTCTGGACTTTAAACCGATGCAATAAATTGTTGAAACAGGTTGGTTGGGGGATGTTGGAAGGGGATGAGTATATTTTCTATGTGAGAATAATTTTAATCTGTGGCCAGAGGACAAGTTAAAGAGTTTTAAAATACATCCATAAATCATTCAACACACTTTCCTCCAAAAATGGAGCCTAATTCACTTTCCCTTGAGCTTAGACTGGATTTGTTGACTTGGTGCTGATGAATAGAATATTATAGAAGTGATAATGTGTGATCTCCAAGACTAGTTCATAAAAGGCATTGCAGCTTCCTTCTTGCTGTCTTTTAGATCATTTTTCCTGAGAGAAGCCAGCTGCCATGTCATGAGGATGCCCAAGAAGCTCCATGGAAAGGTTCACACGGTCCATGTAGAGAGGGACTGAGGTCCTCTGCCAACAGACAGGAGTGGGCCATCTTGGAAGCAGATCCTTCAGTCCCAGTCAAGTCTTCAAAGCCTCCAGTCCTGTTCAACATCCTGACTGTAATCTCATGAGAGACTCTGAGCCAGAAGCACCCAGCTAAGCCAAAACCAAATTCATGACCCTTAAAGAAATAAGGTAATAGATATTTGTTGTTTTCAACTGATAATTTTGGGGGTAATTTGTTACACAGCAATACATAGCTAATACAGGTGTACACTATTCTGTTGCTCTCCCCCTTCCTTTTTTGCTACTATAAACAATGCTGCAACAAAACCTCTTTGTATGTATATCTTTATGTCCTCAAGAAATTATTTCTATAGGATAAATTCTTAAAATTGGAATTTTAGGCTTGCACATTTTAAATTTAGGTAGATATTGTTAAATTGCCTCCCCAGAATAATTGTAACAATTTATACTCTCCCAAACAGTAGATGAGAATGTCTCTCTCTCTTTGCCAATTTTAAATGTTATTAGTCTTTCTAATTTTTCTCAATCCTATTTGATATTTTTATTAATTTGTATTCTTTATTGGTGAGGATGAGCATTTTTTTGTATATTTATGATTTTAAAAAGCACCTTGCTTATCATATGAATTTCTCTTTGCATGCTCCTACCCCTTGATCTTTCCTCTCCCACAATGCCTAGCATATAGTTCACATTACATAAATGTGCTGTTTTTGAATGGATGAATAATGGAATAGTAAATGAAATTTCGACACACAGAAAGTCTTTATTTAACCCCATGGGATTGACTTTTAATTGGGAAAAATACCTTAGCAACCAATTAATTTAATTACCTTTCCCTTTCCCTTTATCAATATTTAATTATCATTCAGGTGTTCTCTGAATAAGCTCTTTATTTTAACTTGTCCAGGCTAATTTGCTTCTAAAAGTTTTTCTCTCTGAATATATAAAACACAGCAGAATAGTTATATAACAAATAATAACACTACAATAGAAACAACCATGTAGTGATGCTAGTTCCAACTCTATTCTTAGGTACCTACTGAGTGACAAGCACAGCACATTAAATACATCATTGACCTAATTTAATATTTACTACAGCCCTGTAACTACTGTTATTTCCCACTATGGAACGAGGAAACTAATATTCAGTGAAATTAAATAAATTAGCCCGTCATATGGCTGTTAAATAACAGAGTTGGGATTCAAACTCTCATCTGTTTGAATTCAAAGCCCATCTTCTTTCTGTAATGCTCAGCTGAATTTCTCAGAAATAAATCACTTGTATAGTTGTATTTTAATATTGTATATTCAAAGGAAAAGAAGGGTTCAAGATAAGAATTCCACAATTTTAAATGATGAACATTGAAATTATATATTTTTTCCTGCTTGGAGGGCACTGTCTACTGCTATTGATTCTTTTTTCAGAAGAATGAATTTCCTTTCCTTCATTGTTAACAAACCTAATTCAGCCATCGACAGGTAAGTGACTTAGCCCCAGTTAAAGTGAGAAATGCAATTGAAACATTTAACAATGAAAAGAGAAAAAAAAAAAAGAAAATGTGGTTTCTTCTCACAATGATCATCAGTCTCTACCATCTAAGGATCTATGTCAAGCTGAGAAAATTCTCCCAGTCAGTTCAGATATAGGACTGCATAATGAATTTCAGCACAACCCCATGATAATGAGATTGATGCCTTCTTTACAAAGCAATTTACAAACTTTCAGAGATAATTTTGGTTTCTGGATGTTGAGGTTACCATAAACTGAAGGCAAGTATACTTTTCAGGTGACACTCCACAATGTTCCATCAGAATGATGTAAATTTATTTTTTAGACATGATCAATCCCTAAATTGTCAAAAGTTGTTTTCTAACAAGTTTTCTGTAGAATCAAGCACTGTAGAATGCAAGCAGGTGGGGAGTAAGCGGCACTATATGTAAGGGCACTGGGAACTAGATTTCATGGTACATATTTCTCTGCTTCCTTTTCTGAGACATATCTAAGAGGTTTCATCATTTTTGTCCAGGAAAAGGAAAAGAGAAAAATGTTCTGGTTTTCTTTTTTCCTATTGAATGTGGCAAACTCATGTTCCCTCAACACTGAACTCAGATGCCTCCTGGAATAACGTTTTATTATAGGCATAACAACTCATATTAGGTAGCAACAGGGACAGTGCTAACATGCTTTATACCAGGAACGAAAAGAGGCATAATGGTGGCAACATGATGAGTAGTCTTGCAACACAAACCTAAGAAACAAAGGTACTAGGAGTCACTTTCCTTCAACCTTCATGTTTCACATGCTCATTGAAGGGTGACACTAAAATGGATAAAACACTGATATCTCTCTAAAACAGGAGCTGCAGTCTCTCGTGGTGACGATAGAATGTTTATCCATTGAAATTTGTTTCTTCATGTATCTCTAATTCAGTTTTACTCAGCCACCTGCACATTAACCACTGTTTATAGGATAACTAGGAAACATGACACTCAGAGATACACAGAAAGTAATTCTCAATTCATAGAAGTCATTTCAATAAAATTAAATAACAATAAAATAATGATAGTTAGATTTCCTAATATAAAATCTGTGTTCTAAATATATTTTAAAGCCATATTCTCTTACTCTACACATTGCTATAGTCTGTTCTTTAATCTCTCACTAACAACACCATCTATAGCAGATGGGGGCTGATCTTGAAGCATTATTTATTTAACTCATTCATAATTTTTACTGTTGCTGTTTCTAAAAATAAAGAGCTGAGGAAACTTAAAGAACATTTATATATAATATGATACGAAAAAATTTTAAATAATGTAGAAAAGACTTCCATTTCTGGCAGCATGTTTGATTAGGTATACTGAACAACCCTCCTTATCAAAACAAATAAAATATAAAATATAAATATATTGCTGAGTTGGAAAGAAAGAACGGAACCGATAGATTTATAAACCCAAGTAGAAGCAAGACCTCTAACAAGGGAGTGAATGCTAACAGCAGCTTTGCCCTGAGTGTTTCTTCTTACACTGTGATGACTGTGGGCAGAAGGGCAATGGATATAAAGCCCAGGACCAGCCCAGGTGAGGATTCCAATAGAAGACCCCTGCAAAAAACTGGGATCCCCAAAGTCTACTCTCACTATAAAAGTAAATGACAGACAAAGAGTAAACTTTAATGCATACAAATTTTTAAAAAGTGATTTAGGGGGTTGAAGGATCCCAGGATGGAATGCAAAATGTGACATTCTAACTGTATTATAAATGTATGAAAGAGGTAAGGGGAAAAGGTACTGATCTAAGTAACTTTGGGTATGAATAGAATCTGTAAAAAAGGCAAAATTAACTGTACATAAGTACTGTACTCTAATTGATAAAGTTGTTTTTCAGAGGATACAGGTTAACGCTTCCAATACTGCGATACCTGTATACTTATGCAGTTGAGTAATTAAGTAAATAGATGGTGGATGGTGGGAGCCAGTTTTTTCCTGTTGGAATAGGAGTTTACACATAAGCAAGGAGAGGAGGTTAGAATGATCCACATAATAGGTTAGTTGGAGATTACAATGGGAACTCATGTTTAGCCTAATAAAGAAACAAATGGTTACATACAGAAGCATTCATAGATACTTGTAGATATAGACATTTATAGATATAGATGAGCCTGGAACATCTTATAATGCCAGAAAGTCATGAAGTGCTTTAAAAAAACCCAAAACTAAACTAAACTAAAACCCACAATGATGAGAGTATGTCAAAGGGACATAGAAGTTAACTGAAAGAATTCCCAATGGCCAAAGCTGGAACAATTTGAGAAACAAACTAAATAAAAAAGCTTTGAATTATAATTCAAAGTATACAATAAATATCCATGAGTCCATACAGATATAAATAAATGATAGAGATGAGACAAAACTTCCATGCAGAGGAATTTCAAATAATTTATATAGAGACCCTACCCTTAAGGAGGTGATGGAGCAAAACTCCTTACTCCTTAAGTGTGGGCTCTACCTAATAACTTCCATCCAAAGAGCACAGAGTGGAAAGGGAGGGGAGAGTAACTTTACAGTGGGGAGACCTGACAAACACTATCTCAATCAGGTGACCAAGATCAACACCCACAATCATAAACCATGTTGACAGTAGGTACCCTTGATACAACATGATGAAAATGGCAGTTTACTTCTGTGATCTTCTTCCCCCAAACCCATAATCCCAGTCTAATCATGAGAAAAACACAAGACAAATTCCAATTGAAGGACATTCTACAAAATACCTGACCAGCACTTCTCAAAACTGTCAAGATCATCAAAAACAAGGAAATTCTTAGAAGCTGTCACAGCCAAGAGATGCCTAAGCAGACATGATAACTAAAGGTAATGTGTTATCCTGGGTGGGATCTTGCAACAGAAAAAAGGATGTTAGGTAAAAACTAAGGAAATCTGAGTAAAGTACAAACTGTAGTTAATAATAATACATCAGCATTTGTTTATTAATTGTAACAAATGGACCATAATAATAAAAGATGTCAATAATAAGGGCTATTGGATGTGGGGTATATGGGAACTCTCTGTATTAGCTTCATAATTT